AGAGATGAGGAAAAAATACATAGATGGTAAAAAAAAAAGATTCAATACTCCTACATTATAGAATCACAGTATGTAGTAAATTTAATTGTTTTAAAAATTAAAGAAGAAAAAAAACACAAAAACAAATATCACCTCTGTTTACACTGTTGCCTTCAGGCAGACGATACAGAGCGATCAGAACAAGAACCAACCGTCTTAGAGACGGTTTTTACCCGACAGCAATAACAAAACTAAATGCAACCAAAAATAACCATTAATCATCATGGATGATGTGTGTGAGAATGTACTATTCTTATTAGTTGTTTTGTATCAGTTATTGTTATTTATTTCTTATGTGTAAATGGTGGTGACAGTGATTTTTGTTTTTAAGCATATGCACTGATCGATGGCATTTTTTTAAATTTTGTTGTTCTTGTGACAATGACAATAAAGATAAAATAAAATTGAAAAACTAAGTTGCCTGAAGTAACGATTATATAGGAAATTAGTACCGCCCAGGGAAAGCTTGGCCTCTTTTGAAGCCACTTGTTCTGTCGCAGAGTAAGGAGGGCTGTGACACACGATGAACAAGGTGCAATACAGATTTCAGCAGATCAGTGACATGCTGATGAAAGGCGTCCTTAACCTCGCTCTGAGGCTGCTGTGCACCATCATCGCCTGGCAGGAAGCCGAGGGAGCAGCCGAATGAAGACAAGAAAAGACATCCAAGAGGATTTTATCTGCAATGTGATCCTCCTCATCAAAACCCAGACACAAAAAAACTGAAGATTTATTTTAACTGCTTAAAACCTGCAAGATTTGAGTCTTGAAATGAATCTTTGTAGATCATTTCTCTAAATGACAGACTTCTACTTCGCATTAATGCGCTTCATATAAATTGCTTTCAATACAATTCAAATGCAGACGACACAACTAAGCTTTCTGTGAAAGTGTTTTTGAAAAATTATTTCAAAAGATTCCCAGTTAGCTTCATCCTTTTCCAAAGAAGCATCCAAATAATTGGCCACTACTAGACTGATCACAACCATGTAGCTTTAATCTCCATGTTGCCTGAGAATAAAGACCCTCATCTTCACTCCATGGATAACTTTGAGCAGCTTTACATGTTCTGCCTTTTCTTGCTGAAAGTCTTGCTCTCTCTCACCATCCCCCAGCCTGCACAAGCACAAATCTGCTGCTATCAGCTGGTAGCGCTCGGCATGCTGCGTTTACTGACTGGAAAATGTTGGATATTTAAGTAAAGATCAAGACATAATTTTCTGTGTCATAAAGCTCAAATATACTTTTTTTTTTATTTATTTATTTTAATACTTCCTGTAGTAATGGAAGGCATGAATAAGTGAAAAAATAAGGATATAGAAAAGAGAACAAATTGAAGGGAGGTAGTTAAGTCAGAAAATCTAATCTGGACAAAGGAACAAAAAAGTGCATCCTTCAGAGACTAAGTCTGGATGAAAGTAGGAAAAACAATAATATATTTTTTTAAAGCTTTACCTTCCACATTATTCTGCCACCTTTACACTCCCTGACCGTTATTATGATTACTGCAAACATAAATCCAAAGACAAACAAAACTATCTATTCACTCCTGCTCTCTTTTAGCCACATCCTGTTTCTTCAAGAAAAAACAAATCTGAAAACAATAGGGAGCTAATTATGGCTGCAACCAACAATCATGTTCATTATCATTCACTCTGCTAATTATTGTCTAATTATTTTCCTGTTAGTCAGTTAAATGTTTTGGCAAGAAAAATTAGAGAAAAAAAAGAAAAGCTGAAGAAAATCCATTTTATATGGACTGCAGCTTGGAATGGCGCCTTGTTTTATTCAAGCTAAAAGATACACAACAATTGATGCAGTGGGACAAGAAAAGATAAGAATTCCCCGTCTAAGATGAGAACAGGGTTATAACTGGAAATAAAAAGTTACCAATAATTCATATTGAATTACGGAAAACGGTGTTTTGCTAGAGGTTACACTACAACCATTGTACTTTATTAGGATAATATGTAATGGATAAACACCAGAAGGTGCGTATATTGAAGTGGAAGAAAATAAATGTATTTAGTCCATGTTTAAAAATATAACAATAAAATATTAAAATCAAATTCCTAAGCAAAAAAAATGTTTTATTATTTCAGTAGTCTCCAGATTAGTATATAGAGCCCATAGTGTGTTATATTTCAGTAAAAATGCCATGATTAAAGCAAAAAGAGGTTATAAAACAAAATACCTCCAATATCTCTCCATATCCTGGAAATGGAAAGGATTTAGCACAAGTTCAAACATACCAATGCATTGGAGTCCAAAAACACACACACAAAAAAACAAAAAACTAGACTTAACAGCTCAGGTAAAAGAGAACTACTGTAACAGTAAAGAAAAGCCCATAGAAGCTTAGATTCCAGTTTGCCGTAAGCCATCGGCTCCACATCAGTTATATCAAAGTGACAGGAAACCATATTTTGTAGAATCATATCTGTGTTAGAATGGCCCAGTCAAAGCCCAGGCCTCAATTCAGCCCAGAACATGTGACAAAAATAACAAAGTGCTGCTTATATAGATCCATCCAGTTTTGCAGAGTTAAAGCTTTTAATGAAGTGAATGTTTCCTTTACAAACGATTCACTTTTTTTTCCTTAAAAAAATAAAATAAAAGATTGATTTAAACAAAACAAAAAAAAGTGTATGCAAAAACTGCATTCCAAAGAACACAGAGAAGAAAATAGCTGAATAAATATAATTTCAGCACATTTACAGACCCAAGTGATCTCACTGGAGAGGACAGAGACAATAAGCAGGCACAAACACAAAAACTAGAGCTCTGTAAAACTCATTTATTGAGCATGGAAGAGGACCGTCCACCAGAAATATTTCAGATTATTACTGCAGTAAAAGAGGAATCTTTTAAAATGCAGCTCCAGTCCAAACTGACCCAGAGCTGCAGGCCTCTGCCAAGCAGAGATGGACAGCTGCACTCTGCAACACAAGGCCCAGACAGACAGCAACCGGACCACCAAGAAGAGCACAGAACAATGCTCACGTTGATGCCACAGATTTTTTCCGCTTGCAGTTAATAGCAAATAATGACACTGCACTGTGATGTTGGACGCGTTCCACCCCAGACAACAGGATGACCCTCCTCCTTCCCCCCACGGTTGCCTGAGCCACATTCTAACCTGAAGCTCATTATGAGGTGTAACTAAAATAATTATTGGCAATCAGAGAGAATTTACAAGAAAATTTTCCTGTCCAAGTCCTGCCTTCAAAACCCAACCATCAGGAGGCTGAATTGTTATAAATGAGGCCAGACTGAAAAGATGCTTCTTTTCTGGTAAATAACTAAACAGCATTCAGGATAAGATATATGTATAAAAAAATTAATTCTAAACTGAATTTTATAATTATGTTGCAAGATAAACAAGTCCAAAATCATTCTTGTATTTTATATTTCACATTCACATGCCATACAGTAAAATCCAATAAGTCATAATGTACCAGACAAGATTAATTTAAAATCTATCCTTTCACGCTGCATACATCAGGACTTAAATCAGAGATACATTTAAACTGCTGTGAAGATGTTTGTCTTTGCTTAAGTCTTTTTAAGGCAATGCATGAATCCAGTGCTGTAATCAGGACTCTGGCCTGGCCTCCTGCAGCACATGCAATCCATGCAACACAATCCTGAGCTCTATTGTTTCCAAAGACTGTCAGGTTTATGCCGCCGCCAACATGAACGGGATACGGCAACAGAATAATCAATTTATATTTAAAAAATAAAATAAAATCATTTTGCATTATGTAGGAGGATGTTTCTCTTTTTGCTTGTTACAGCTGAAATCACGGAAAAAAAAAAATTCTTCTACACTACAGAGACTAAAAGATAAAACACAATTAGTTGCATTTATAGCTATTCAAACACATAGCATTTATTCCTGGAATAAAACCTGGATCAACAACAATCAACTAAAGATAAGAAGCAGAACATGTTCTGATGATTGGCTCAGGTTGTTCATAGTCAGGTCCAATATTGAATAAAATAACTGTTTGGTTTAGGAAGTTCCTACCTTATCTCTAAAAGAGATGCATCTACAGTAGGAAATGATGCACTTTTCTATTTTAGGAAACAAAACAAACAAAAGGTCTAATTTGCTTTATAAACCAGTAAAACCTTGCATGCATTTATTTTCTGTGGAATATGAAAGGACTCAAAATAAATAAAATAACATGCAGCAGTTTTTGCTTCTATGCATCTCCCAGGCAATAGTAAAAAAAATAATAATAACGCCCAGAGATAGACACACAAAAAAGCTCAGCAGGTCAGACTCCAAATAAAACCAGAAATAGTATCAACACTTAAAAAAAAAAAGTTGTTTTAAACTGTTGCTAAAAATATTAAAATGTTTTTTTTTAAGCCAAAAAGCTGCAAATCCTTTTACTCCTAAGGATGCATTTGCAGAATCCTGTTCTTTATGGAAAGTGAATAAAACATAATACTGTGATTGTTTTGTTTTTTTAAATTCAGCATTATTTTAAAGATCATGGCAATATATTAACAACAGAAACACATTTCTTTGGTTTGAATCATTAGTGTTTGGAGAGAAGGGGGGAAGCCAGGAGGAAGTCTAATGCGTTTCCCCTGCTAATAATAACCCAGGAATGTCTACAGCAGCACTGGTATAACTCACTCAATTAAAGTCTTATATTATTTCTACCAAAATAATTATAAACAGATTGATTTATTGGGTAGAATTCAAAATAAGGCGAGGTTCCAGATTTCCCTGGTGAAATTGGTTTGTTTTTAATCAATCAGTGCATTTCAAATTACATCTGAGATTATAGCTGATTAAAATGATCTTTCTGGAGCGGGATTAAGGAAAGCAGATTAACTCATTTAAAGTAGTTGTTAATGTAAAAATAAATAAATAAATCTGAAAGTTTGTTTTGTTTCCACTTGCAGCCAGGTTTGATCAGGCTGCTCATCCCCACCGGCCTTACCTTTTTGTGTCTGTCTTTGAAAGGTAAGGCAGGCCAAGGCATCTCCTGCAAAAAGTCCTGCCAGTGTTTCTGGTCCTGATCAGAAGAGACGAAGACGATTTCCAGCTTGTCCTTATGCTCGGACGCCTTCTTGAAGCGGTGGTAAAACTCGCAGAGGCTGCCGTTGAACTGCTTGCAGGGGGCGTTCAGGCTGCAGCCGAAGAAGAGCCCGAGCAGGGAGAGCCTGGCGCCCAGGGACTGAACGTCCACCTCGGCTTTCTCGCTGTTGACGAGCCGCTCCCCGAGCAGAGCCACTAGAAACTCCGACATCGCGGCGAACACGACCGGACGAGGCTGCAGCGCTTCCTGCACCTCCACCGAGCTGAGAGGGTTGTGCGGTGAGCCCCGCAGACACAGAGAGGTTTGTGCGGTGAGCCCCGCAGACACAGAGAGGCGGTGCGGTGCTGCTGCTCCCTCCGCTCTGAGCTCTGTGCAGGAATGCGCTCTGCTTAAATCTCCCTGACTGCAACACAGATTCCCCCCATTTAACATGAAACCCCGCAATCACACAACTAAACCTCTCTGTTATTGAATAAATGTTCACTTACCTGCACGTCAAATGAACGATTAAGTATCAAAATACACCAAAAAGAGGCCAAATGAGACTTTTATTCTATATTCTCAAACTCTCTTACTTTTATATAAAAATGAAATGACTTTTGCGTTTGACAGTATCTCTATGACATGCGTTTGGGAAATTGTAATTCCGGTGTGCTGGAAGGTTTTAGGCTAAATACTTGAATGAATTTCACCAAATTTACATTATAAATGTTAAAGTGAGGGAGAGTCTTTTTAATAGTCTGCCGCCACCTAGCGTTCACAGTGAGAAAACATGTTAACTTTTTAAATAAAGACTTGTCTTATGGTAGTTTTTCCCTTTTCCTTACCTCAGTTTGATCGAAAACATTTTTAAAATCTTGCCACATTTTCTGATTTGGGTGTTGGCTTGATGTTTTAACATTTGAAGGTTTAGGTTTTTTGTAACATGGAAGGTGAATCTCTGTCCTAGTTTCAGGTTTTCAGTCTCTAACAAGTTTTCATGTAACATCATACTGAATAAATCAAATTCCCTGTCACATCTAAAGGAAAAGCCCCAACAGCATGATACTGTCACCACTTTGTTTCAACGCTGGGATGTGTTTAGGGCATCATGCAGTAGAGGTTTTCCTCCACACATACAGCTGTGCATCGACACCAGCTGTTGTCATCTGACCAGGGCAGTTTCTTCCACCTGTGTGTCAAGTTTGTTATATGGATAGTGTCAATTTTTAATCAGGTCCTCTTTTGGATTTTTTTTTTAATTGCTGTTCTTTGCAAGGACAGAGTTGTGGACCAACTGATAAACAGTTAACAGATTTTCTGAGTTGTAGATCTCTCCCACTACTCGATAATTATCACTGTGGTTGCAATGGTGGAAAAATAGAAAAAAGGTGAAAGGTAGATTAACATTTTTAAAGGTATTATAAAACCTTCTTAGGAACAGGTATCCAACAACAACTGAACATCTCTGGACAAATTGCAATGCCTTTTCATCTTTTTTTTTTAAATATATATATACGTATATATACACATTAGGTTTGGTAAGATGCCTGATTTATAGATATTGAGACTACGAGACAGGAGTCAGAACTGGAGAGAGGGAACCTGGAGAAGTTGAGATTTTTATTGAGAATCAATCAAATATTAAGACAGAATTGACAGCGGAACTAACAACAAGGAGCCTTTGACTCAGACTCACTTGCAAAGCAATGGAATTAACAGAATTAACAAATATATTTCTCAAATCAAGAATTAATGTGTGTATTTCTATACAATGAAGTATTTATTGATTGCACAAAATAATCAGGTAGCAAACTTTTCTTTCAGTGTAGCCCAATACAGAGCTGCATGTCAGAGGCTGGTTATTGGTTTAGGTAATGCACAGCTGACAATTACCTGTTTGCATTGAAAACATTCAGATATCAACATTGGATGATTTTTAAGTGCTTGAACTGAACCGTGTAAACTGGTAATTAATAAAGAAATATTAGCTTCTTTATAAACGATCAAATAAGCCAAGGATCCTTCAGTCTTCTGTGAACATCATCTTCACCAGGTCTGGTTTGAAGAGATCTTCCTCCACTAGCTTCTGAGGCTGTAACAAAAGTTCACACATATTGTGAAGCACTCCATGGAAGAAACGTAATCACAGATTTTTTACTTTTTTTTTTTTTATCTCTAGTAACTTTCATATAATGTTTTATGGGCTAATTTCTGCAGAATGGAATATTAAATTAGTTGCATTCAAATGTTCTCTTACTGTGCCATATCGCAGCAAAGTGGGAACTCCCGTCAACTTCAGGGTCTTCTTGAAGTCATTGTTTGGATCCTTCCAACTAAAACACAAAACAGACATTACATCCACCAAAATGGTTATGCTGTCATCAGCACTGGTTTGTCTCTCTTAAATAACTAAAATAGTTATGGAGAGCTTTTGATGACATTTTTAGTAATATGTGTATTGTTACTTGCAACAAATGATTACATTTTGGTGATGATCTGGATCAACGTCTGGATCCAGGATTTTTTTGAAAGATTCCTTGAATACAAGGCAGGAAGTTAAGGTGGAAATCAGCTACTTAGTGGAAGTCTGGGCTCTCAGAGTGCTTTTCTAGTCACACACTTATTCTCACAATATTTGATGTTTATATGTTTGAGGAAAACATTTTACCCCATTTTTAAAAGTTATAACTTATTTCAATTCAAGCTTAAGAGATCAGCTCATAGACAACTATCAGACCTAGCTGGATCACGCTGTTTATAATTTGCAGTCTCTTTTCTATGTGGAAATCAAATAGACTTTTAGGATTACAACAGATTTAGACATTGTTTACAGTTACAAGCATGTATGGGTGAAAAAGGACATGGTCCTCTCATCTAGGATATCAAATCCTATAATTGACTGATTGACTTTATTGATCTCAAAGTGGAGAAATTTACTTGTTACATCAGCACAAATAGTCAAAAAGAGAAAAGGTGCATGGGATATATACACAATATATAAAGTGCGTCCACATATGACAGCTTTTTCTTTTTTCTTTATTAAAGAAGAATGAATGAAATGCTTTCATAATGGCTTGTTTGACAAAAATAGACTTTTTGTCTTTCTTTGGGGGGTAAAAAGCATTAATCCAGATGGTCATCATCAGCAGAATTACTGACTTTAACTTAACAGCAGTATGAAAGAAACATTAATTACGGTATAATTAAATAAAAACAATTGTCTGCTGCTTAATCTAGAAAGAAAACAGATATTACTTTACCTCTATAATAACTACAAAACAAATATGTTTGCTTTTAAGCTATTGAGGTTGCATAACAATGACCTCCAAAGAAAAGGGGAAATGAGCTTACTAAGGTCTATCTCCAACTTGGCAGTAGATGAAGACTGAGCCTTCAGGAAGATGATTCAGCTCTCCTCTAACAACTGGCTCAGCTGAAACAAGGCAAAATTAAACACTCCATGTTAGAGACGCGTTAAACATCTAGCACTGCGGTTTTCCTTCGATTTAAAAAAAAAAGGAATAACTTACAGCGTCTTTATGGCTGTAGGAGTTATTTTCAACGTTACCTTTAACACAATCTGGACACCAGCTCTTTCCCTCAGCGTCTTTATCACCTGAAAAATAAGCAAAAATATCCTTTCCTTTTCTCTCTGACACCGCCTTACAGAACTCCTCATAGCCGCGCACCTTCACTTCTTCATAACGCGCCATTGTTTCAACTTCAGCTTCTGTTGTGAGATATCTCACGTGAACGGTTGAACACCAACTGCTTAGAGGAGAAAAAAACAGTTGAAATACTTCTTCTTATTCTTCTCGAATTTTTTTTATGGTGGTTGGCAAAAAACGTTAAGTGAGGATTACCGCCACCAACTGGTAAGGAGTGTGGACTTGAAATACTACTTCCGGGTTGGGTGGCGCTTTTAAAGCGCCCAATGAAAAACTACTTCCGCCTGTTGTTGTCATGGCGCCGTCGTTTCAAACCGTTGTCAGGATCAGATTGGGATTAAAAACATTATGCAGGATGTATAATTTAGTTCGTAACTGTAATCGAGAATATATTCCCTAATTCAAAACTAGATTTAATTGTCAAGAACGATGGAAAAGATGTCTGAATCACTAGTTTTGAGGTTTACTTAATATAAACAGACAATAGATTAAAATATGCGTTAGCTTTCTCATGCTAACATCGATTAGCATAAGGGTTTAATTTTGTTTACATTTTTTTCCGCATTACTTTTATTGTTTCTTTCACTGCAATGACTGCAGAGTCCTTGTCAAATGGAACTATTGGTTCCCTGGGACTTCAAAACCAGGGAAGAAATTGGGTCACTAAAGGATCAACACGGAACGTAATCGACCAATATTCAGCAACTAGGACATCCCAAACAAAGGTAAACAAAGGTTTTATTTTCCAAAATGTTTAGCTCAGCCGTCTTATTTCACCTAATGCTGATCAGTTAGTTCTTTAACCATTAAATTCTAAATATTCTTAAATGATTAAATACGGTATCCTCTTTTGTAAATACGTGAATTTATTTAGTATATATATATATATATATATATATATATATATATATATGGATTAAATTGTGGGAAATAAGTATAATTTAAATTAAATTACTGTAATAAATTAGCATTCTAAAAAGATAGTTACATTTGAAGACATTTAAGGAACACTTAAATTGGCAAAGAGGGGATGATGGGAAATAGAAATTAAAATAAATTACGTAAATCAGGGGAAATTGTAGCAGCAGCAACGTGACAAACAGGTATCTAGATCTAGGTCATCTAGATTAACCCATACGTAAAATATAGAAACAGAAAGTAAGAAGTAGAGACCTCTCAGGAAGACACACTCAGATCCAAATAAATGTGTAACTGTTCATAAATATTTATGCATATAGAATGTAGACTATTTACATTTGCAGACTAGAGGGATTTTTTATACAAAAGATTAGTCATTCAATGTTAAAGTGTGAATATGTATATATAGATGTTTCTTTATAGATTAAATAAAATTGATCTAAATATCAAAGTTTTTTTTTTTTTTTTAAAGATCTTTCCAAACTATATAACTAAAAAAAGCACTTTATGGAATAGATTTTTTTACATAATTTTTATCCAAGAAAATGTGTCATTTACTTTTATTTAAGCAAAAGCTTCAAATGCTGTTTGTGTAAAAATGCCATCCTGTATTTGATCTTTAGAAAAAAAACAACAGAAAAGGACCTCACTTTTTTTTTTACAGACAGCAGGACAATAGATAAGGATAGAAATTAATCTGATAACATATTTGGGTTTTGATTTCTTTGACAGTTGTTGTTCAATGAAGCCATTCCTCTGAGCGCTATCAACCGTGCTACTCGTGTCGGCCCCCCAGCTCCCATTGTGATAGAGAGACTGCTTCCATGTTCAGAGATGCGTGAAAGTGCGGGCAGCCTTAAACACTCTTGCAGCTTCTCGGTGCTCTCTGAGGAGAGGCTTCAGGCTGCTGTTAAACTGGCCAAGCGAGATCTAAGACGAAGGCACCTTGAGTCACTAGCAAAGACTTCAAGGAAACCTTTGCAGGAGTCTTCTGTCTTTGAAACTAGTGATGTGGAGCTGCTTCAGGTAAACAGATCGATGGTAACAGATTTGTATCCAGCTGTTTCTAAAGATTGTTCTTTTTTTGAGTCTTTAGTCTAAAGTTTTCTTTCTTGTCCATACAACAAACTGAAAGAACTATTTCGTTTCCTCTGCAGGAGATAATAGCAACTCCAGGCAGGACACAATTAAAGGAGAAAAAGGCTCAAACTGATGTTAAACAGCAGACATCCAAGAAAAAAGCTACATCTGTCATGGCTCGTGTTGGGCAGTCTCCTCCAACTAGAGACCCCGGTCTAAGGCAGTTGGAAGCAGGGAAACAAGGACACTTAAGCAGTGAAATCCTCAAACTGCACAATGAGCTGGAAACGTGTATACGGAAAGTGGAGGAGCTCGCTCATCGAGGTAACTCTTATAGACATCTTCTCACCCTTGACATGCCATGGACAGGTTGTTAATGTCAGTTCTTACTTTTTAAAATACAGTTCTAGTTTTAAAATGGCCTGAATTAGCCATAAAAAACAAACCCAATGCTTGTAATTGGCTACTTTTCCCTTGAAAGCAGGAAAAGATAACTAACAAATAACTACAGTAACTAGTTTGTTTTTATTCAATTTACCAGAATTATACATATCACAATTTTCAGTCTGTTAAACTCTCAACCGACATTTTGGTTCTATTAAAGATCTGAGATCATGGGGTCAAATTTTTTTTTTCCTTATAAAAAATCTCTACGTTTCTCAAAGGACTTCCAGGGCCTATTTTGTTATGGTCCCTTCAAAAAGTTGGTCTGAATCACTCAAAATCGCCATTGGCTGGTCAGACCTCAAAGATATTTCAAATAATTTAATAGTCACCTTCCTATACTGTACTTGTGCATTGATAATGATCAGTTCTATCTGCAGGTGAAAAACCGGAGGAGTCTTTGGAACCTGAAGAGCAAAACAAATGGGAGATTCGCAGACAGAAACAGGCAGCCAACTCAGCACGTACCATCTACGTCCTTCAGCGACAGGTATTTATGTGTTAGGTACAAATATTTCACAGATGAATAAGCATTGTATGATATGTATATATCTATGATATGTATATATGATATATAATTTTTTTGTTTTTCAGGTAAAAGAGATACAAGACGACATTGAAAAACTCAGAAGAGAAAAAATGTGGGATGCAAAAAAGGTATGTTCTTAGCTGGAGGAAGCTGCAATGTCTAACTACTGAATGACTGATAGCAATGATGCCTGAAGGAATCTAGAATTTAATATCACTAATGTAACAGTTATGTATAAAAAGTTTCTGAAAACTCTGGAATCCGTGCTTTCAAGTTTGATTAGTTTTATTCAGACAGAATGGTTTTAGGTTTCACCCTGTTCGCTGATAATGGAACCCTGTAACTGTCCTCTTCTTGTTTCAGTCTGTTGCAATTAACAGGCTGGCAGCAGCCCACCGTGGCGCTCTCAGGGCCTTACAGGTCGTCATCCACCAGCTTTCAGATCAGGCTCAGACCAAGGTACCCCCTCATTATAAGGAACTGGGCCAGCTGATCCGCCAGCTATCTTTGTGCTCCGCTAAGGTTGAAGTGGACCAAGGTTCAGATGTCCCTGAGACTGCACTGGATATCCTGCAGAAACTAGAGGTGGGAAAGTCTGACTTATAATAAAATTTATTTTTCATGAAAAAGGGTCCATGATTCTGTCACTGGTTTTTCTAAAAAGGTTTTACTGCTCTTATCTCATTTTCTAAATCAGCAAATTAACCAAATGAACTTAGATTAGATGCAATGATGGAAAATTTATTTGAATTAATTGCTGAGGTCCTAACAACAAAAAATACTTTGTAAAGCGAATATATATTCCAGCCGTTATTTGTCCATTATCTACAGGTTGTGACATTTTAGGCCCATTTTAACTCTCCAATATGTGGAACTGCACAATAGCTTAGGGCAGTCAGGGTGTGACTGAATGTGCTTCTGAGTCCTTGAATTTAATAAATGAATCACAAGCCAATATTCAAATGTTCAATTGCGATATATGGTGAATATTGGAATCACTTTGTTGATTTTAATGAACTGAGAAGAAAGTTTCATGTTTTCTTATCTCTGAGGTGTCCCTGCAGCTCTTTGAACTTTAGCAGCTTGATCATTAAAATCTTTATTTGATGTTTGCATAAAAGGCAGTGAAAGTCCGTTCAACTCGCCAAATATATTGATGGTATGCAGAGTTTGAATGGATGGAATAAGAAAGAAAAAATGATTGCCACTAAATCCTTTTTTTCACTTTCCTATTTTAAAGTCACATTGTGATAAACCTTACTTTGTGTGTATCAGTTTTAATTATTTGGGAACGACCAATAATTTGTGCTAAACTGCATCCAAATACTTTATCAAAGAGCTAGAGGCTCCTTTTGCTTTGGATCGATATTCCCTCCACTCGACCCTGACCAGGGCCTGCTGTATTTATAATGATAGTACAGTTATGTTTGTAAGCATAAAGGAATCACACGTGGACTTCTATGACCTATAAAGGTGACTGCAGTCGAGTCTTAAAAAGTTTCCTGCTGTTTACCGGCTCTAGAATAGCCTAGTTAGTTGTTAAAAATTGTAAAGAAAAATTTTTTTTTGGATAGCTACCTTAATTATAGCTGAGGTTTGATTTAAATAAAGCAAAAAGCCAATTGGGTATAGTATTTTTTTCCAGTCATTTTTGTTTTATTTTGCCTTATTTATTGTGATCTCAGTATTCATATATCTCTCAATTCCTTTTAGATTTTAGATTCGGCCCTCAGTAAACATGATATGCTTGAGAAGATGCAGGCCAGGGCCCATCCTCCACCCAGGAAGTCTCCTCATCGCAGCACGTCTCCCACTAGTGGGCCCAAGAGTCTCAGCGTGTTCACAGCTCAAGGCCATCGCAAACCACCAAATCCTAGAGGAGGTGTGTGTAGTTAACACAAGGTTTTTTTCTTTTTCCTTCCAGGACATTTTAAAGCATGTATTCAATGCTAGTGATGCAGTTAAGATGTAAATAAAACCGTATTGTCATTTTCAACATCTAGTATGTGCAGCTGTGTTAAAATCGTTTACTTAGTTTTAGGGTTCTACCTATAATGAGCTTTGTGCAGGTTTCAGCTTGTTAAAGAGTTAATGCAAAACGGACATTAAGCACAGGTTGTCCCCTGTGTCACCAAAGGTTTTTTTTTTGTTTAGAGATTGTGTTTGGCCTCCCTCTGTGTTTAAATGGCTGAGCCCAGGTTGGAAATTGAAGAGAAGCCACGAATTAGAGATCGAAAACAGCAACTCGGAGCAGAACTGTGGCCTTTGGCCCCATGCTGCTTAGTCTTATGAGCAGTTAACCCCTGCTGGCTTTTATTGAGCTGAGGACTATCCTCTGTAAGAGATGACATAAACACCCACAATGAGCTTTATTAGCATCCACAGCAGGGAGGGAGGATTATATTGAATCTTTTCATCTTTTTGCTGCACTGCAACCTCCAAAATGTCAGTTTTATTTCCACATGGCTTTAAACACTTTTCTTTTAGTCCCTTATATAGTAAGCTTCTTCTTTACTCTTAACCATTCTGATATTGTTGATTAACTGATATTCATATCATTCCAGACCAGAAAAAAAAATGAAAGTTTATATTGTCTGTTTGTGTGTGTAGGTCGAAGTTTTGCCTTGCAAAGGCCAAAAATAGTTCCTAACCAGCCTCTAAACAAAAGAGAACTGCTGACGGTCGGTCTGCAGAGCATCATCCAGCAGAGGGAGCTCAAACAGCCTCTTAGACAATCCCAGCCCAACACCAAGTATCAGAGAAGGAGGCATGCAGAGAGGAAAAAAGCTGGCAAAACAAAGGTGATGCATTTATTTGGCTAATGATTGCAACTCAGAACATACATGTTTGAAAATATATTTAAGCTTAAATGATTTATTGATTTCATTGCAATTGTTTCTCAGCCTAATCAGATGCAAGAGGCTGGTTTCCAGCAGCCTACAGTTTCCTCACAGCTCAGAGTGAATCAGATGCCTCAGAAGGAGAAATCTGTGCCCTGGATGCCAACATCACCCCACTCTCCTCCTCAGCAGCGGTCAGCCTGTTGTCTTTATAGTCCTCTCACTTTCACTAAAAATAACTCTGCTATATTGAAGTTGGCTACGAGCTGTATGCATGCACATTTGCTGTGAAGACAAACACAGTAAAATTAAATCTTTGTTATATTGTTTGTCTATGGTGGTCGAGAGGGAAAATGTCTGCATGTAAATAATTTTGCAACAAATTCAAAAAGCCCCACCAAAATGAGACTTACAAACACAACTGAGAATTGGGATAATACACAGGCAAAACAAAATGCATTCAAAGAAAAAATGTAGAGGAAGAAAAGCTGCAATCAGAGAAAATGGACAGTAGCAAAGTAGAAACGACCTGCAAACACAAAACTCTTTGCAAATACATATATGATGCTAACAGAAAACCGCTGCAAAGTATTAAGGCTGCAAGTAGCAAAAACTACTGTAAGTAAAGGAAAGCTGCAAACTATATCGGGTTAATAGCAGAACTCCAGACTAGTAGGAAGAGAAAGTCATCAATTCATCTGAAACCAGACTCTGAGTAAAGCCAGGCATACACTGTGCGATATTTTCAACTGTTGCACGCAGCTACAGCTCACAGTGTGGGAAGAAACCGCAGGGTTTAAATGTTTACAGCTGACATTGAATGTTCTCACACTGACCTGACGCTCTGGTGCAATCTACCTGCTCACACTGCAGGTCTAAAAACCATGTCGGACTCAGCTCCGCAGTGAGATGGCGCTAGTCGCACACGTCTATCCGGAAGCCAAACTAGTAGAGGAGGAATTTGAAGCTCACTAGAGAGAAACATGCTGCCCTGGCATAGGTGCAATTTTATGTGCTGAAAGCCCTAAAAAGAAAAGGTAACAACATATTTGGACAAAGACATGGCTAAGCAAACGTGCACTACTACGATCTGTCAATTTTACAGAAAGAAATCCATTTCACTCGCACCCCCCTGACTTTGTGTTTTCTTCTGAAAGGAAGAAGAAGAAAAATCCTTGTTTGCGCATGCGCACTAAGCATTTTGCCCACAATGGCCGACTGAATTTCATACTTGTTTGATTTTCTCCCGACGTCACGATTCCTGATTGTAGGTGGTCATGAGAGGCTGATTGCCCCTCGCTACCCCCTATCCACTACACGATGCACGACGCACGATCAGGCTGAAAGTCGGCCCGATGGAAGAATTCTCGCATGGCTGGAAAATTGGCCTGAAAAGGGCAAAATATTAAACAGTGTACGCCTGGCTTTAAGGCATAAACGGGATGCTCAGCGATACTTAATGTTTAAAAGAGATTCATTGAAATCTTACCTTCTCTTTCTCCCCTCTGTCCTCTGGGCTCCACCCCGCTTGTTTTCGTTAAGGGTCTGGTCCAGAGTCATTAATTCGTAGTAATGTCTTTGTTTTGGTTCATGTGAGATGGCGATCATCTCCTAGTATTTGGAACACTTCTGGTATGCAAGCTAATTTGCAGCTTTTCCTTTTTTTTTATCTTGCAGTTGTCTTTGCTACTTGCAGCATTTTCCTTTTGCATGTTTTGAGTATTCTCTATATGTTTGCGTATGGTTTCCTGTCTGCAGAATATTTCTACTTTGCTGCCACCTATTTTCTGTGTTTACAGACTTTTTTCTCCTTTGTTTTTGTGTGTTCATTTCATGTTTGTGTTTGCATGGCTTTTTGAATTGGCTGTGAATTAATGCTATTGCATGGTGTTTGCAGCCCTCAGCTACCCTTGTGTACTTCTTAAAGTAAAGATTTGGAAGCATAAAAATTACACACTGACCTAATATACCAGGGACAAGGACTCTGGAAGGGGTGAGGGTCTGTCTGATGTGATTCTTCAGGTGTCCTGACTGCTGGAGGACATGCATGTGTAGAAAAAAATAAAGATCCTACTGTGGGGGGAAAAAAGCTTGTACTCATGAAATAATAAAGCAACACTATGTATTATTTAAGGTGCCCATAAAAACAATGATGATATCATGTTTGGCCTTAGTGTGGTCTACTGCATCGGCTCCTGTTTTGTTACCTTAATTGGACAAATATCCAAATCGGGTAACTCACAGGTCTTCGAAAGGAAATGCTTCACATTATTTAAATAGAAACACATACGAACCCAGGATTTTGGTTGGTTGCCTTATTTTTCTTCTTTTTTTTTCACTTGTATCTTTAACTGAGTTCTGATGTCTCTATAGAGTCCCTCAGAGGGGAAGACCTGAGCCTCGCTGCCTCTTCTCTCCTATCAAGCCCTCAGCGAGCCCCCCAGGAGAGCAGCAGGCAGAAGGTCAGCTGGAGGCAGAGCGAAAACAGAGTTCTCCAAAGATGAAAGCGGCTCACAATGAAGCAATAAGGTAGGAAACATTATTTCCTTATTTATTTTTTTTGCAATTAATTTCAAAATGAATTTCTCTGATTCATGTTTTTTTTTCACTAATTTCAACTTCATTCAATAAACGATCTGACTCTGCAAAAGAGAAAAATGCATGTGGATGAAATCGAGTGGAAATGAATTTTAATGAGCCCCTTACTCTGTATTCACTGAGTCATTTCTAACCTTCATGCCAGACCCCACTTGCTGAGAGCCACAGGCAACACTCCGATTATTATTCAAAATTATTTCTTTCCAACAAAAAAAAAAATCTAGATCTTTGCACGACTCAGGCCATTCCTCTTTTTGATTGATTGGAAAGTCGTCCTATTTTCACAGCTTTTAAGCGTTGCACTGATTGAGTGTTGCACATATGCCCTCCTTTTAATCAACTTTTAATTACTACAATCGTGGTTCCCTATTAATCAGTAGCTAGCAGCCTGGTTTTAGGGACAGGGATTAGAAGTTATTCGTGTGAAAGGCACAATCAAGCCTCTGTTTAGCTTCATGTAAAAATTGCTGGCTTTTTATAGGAGAGCTTATCAGGAGAAGATGACCATGCCGAGAGTGACTCGGCTCAGTGGAGAAGAAGCCACGCCCAAGCACAGACTGAGGTGAGTTAGTGACTTACAGTGACTTAAAAAAGTTTATACCCCAATTACTGTTTACCTTGTTGCATTAGAGCCTCAAACTCTATTGTATTTTATTAAGATTTAATGTGACAGACCAACACAAAGGGCGACGTTGGTGTAAAATTGAAGGAAAATGAGGAATAACTTGACAAAAACTGTAAATATAACAGAAAGAGACAATAAGAAGTCCCTATTATATTAATTAAAACAAAACAATTATCTCTCATGGCTTGGGACCAATCTTGCTGCTAAATCGTTGTGTCAGTGCCAGTCCGTTGCAGTAATCCACACAGTAATCAGCCAGAAAACCTCAGAGAACTAATCATCACAATTATATGTTCAGCTACGTTGGGAATTATGCCATCGGAAAAAGCATCCCCAGACAAAAGATCTTAAATCAAAGCAAGCTGTCCATGTGGTAAATACAAGGGGAAGCACATTTTCCTATACACCCCATTTTAAAGCTTGTTGACCAAGAAAGGTTCCCTAATTAGTCACTGGGGGAGTTTAGCTATAAAAACAATGTGAGCTGAGGATTAGATGCAGTCAGCACTTTGTCCAACAGAATAAATGTGATTGTGCAGAGTCATGCTTCCTTTTTCCAACTTAATTCACAAACCCTTTTTATTCTACTTTATGTATTCTGGAGGTTAGTGATCCCTTGGGAGGATACATGTAAATCTATCTGTAGCATCTTAGTTTAGCACTTATTGCCTGAGTGAACACAAAGATATAAACCTAAAAGCTGTTTAAATGGAGGCCCATGCTTTAAGATTCATTAAAACATGCTCTACCTTTTGAGGTATGCCTCTCATTCATCATTCCTCTACTTTATTTCCAGAATACTGTCCCACAATCCCTTTATTGTGGGACAATAAATATTGTGGGACAATAAAGTTTTTTTTCTATTCTATTCTATTCTGTTTGTATCTACAAGCAGTACAAAAATGATTTTTGATTGCTGATTCATTTAGGAGCTTTTATCCTACTAAAAGGGCATTTTGATCCACAAAAACAAATACTTCTGATTAGAGACTGATTGGAAATATCTAATGTAGAATCAAAGATAAATATACTGGATTTGTTTGATCCACTAGTCTAATTCCTCCATCTCCTGTTTCATTGTTGTTGTTTTCCAGAGAATCTAACTCTTCCTTTTGGTTAAAACGAATGTAATTCATACATTGCAGAACAGCTTGTAACGTAGGCGTGTTTTGGTTCACAGGTCTGAAGTTGCTTTTCAGAATCAGTGGGCTGAGGAAGCTGAACAGGGAGTCAGAGAGAGGAGTCAAGGACCTTCTAATAGAATACAGGTGGAGAGACTTACCTGTTACCCATGTGGTGCCAAAAATTACCCATCATTCTATTAGTTGTTAATTTCTTTCAGTAGGAGTTAATCAAACTGACATTTTATAATTTTTCCTTCCTGTATGTTATGGTTCTCTTTACTTTGGTTATGTACTTTAGCAGGAAGGCGCTGCCAGGAACAGGTCTGACAAACTGAGGAAGATTCAGCTCCCAGAAGTTACTGCTGAGAGGGTGACTTTGATTTTGTACAAAGTTTTTAATCCATATGACGACAAAGAATAATCAAAAGAGCTGGAAAACTGTCACTGATGGTAAGTTTTCTTTTTAATTTATCATCTGTACTGTTCTTTATAGGCAGTGGGGGATTGTGGGTGGCTTGGTGAGTCTGTGTCAGATTTGTTGGAGGACTCTTCGAGTGATTCGTGGGCGGCAGGAACAGGCAGGCGGTTGGACGACAAAGCCGGGTTTGGGCAGCAGGCCCTTACCCTGGAGAGCATGCTGCTTCGTATGGAGGAGATACAGGTGAGAGTTACCCTGCAGGGGAAAACCCATAAAAAGGTCAACCTGAAAGGGTAGCTGTTATCGACTTGTTATTTATAGTAAGCTGTCATGACAGTTGTGGTCTGCTGCTGCTTAATGATTTACCACCCAGAGCCTCTACACCCTCTTTTATTTTAAGAGAATTTCTAGTAAAATCTGTTGAAACCTGTTTTATTATTAGTTTTTTTGTTAAATTATAATATTAACAAAGAGAAGATGCAAGTAAATCTGTAAATGAACCCAAAATTGACAGAATATTTTGGATTTCCTGAGTTTCTAAAATTCCATAGGAATCTTGTTATCATGATATTGGTTAGAGGTGCACCAATACAGTTTTTTCCGATCAGATGGAATGAAATATCAGCCGATATCTGATACCAATCCTATTCAACTGTTGAACCAATGAACCTCATATCTCGCCATGTGAGTGAAGACATTAGCCTGGACATAAACATTGGAATAATAAACGTTAAAAAATGAACACTGAATGAGCAGCAAAAAGAAAGAAATAACTGTTCCATGTGAAGTGCACCGGATTCGATCTGCGATATCTGATGTTAGATCCAGCTAATTAGTCAATATCTGCGCCGATATCCGACCCAGGTATTGGATTGGTTCATCTCTGATAGTGATGCTTCTCCTTTAAATTCAGCACTGTAAGTGTTTTGTATTTGTTTGGTCAGAGGGACGAGGAAGAAGTGAGGAGACGGTTCGCCTCCATCGCCTATTCAGACACTCTTTACTGGGACCGCTCAAGGACGGCAGGTAAAAAAAATAAATAAATAAAAGTGACCCAACAAAAGCAATCCTGTGTTTTAGGGTCAATTTCCTGTTTGTAGAGTCAGTTTTTTGCTGAAGGATGGACATCCCTTCACCTTTCTGTTTACATTTTGTCATGTTAACATCACAAGACTCTGTTTACTTTATTGGGCTGTTATGCGATAAGCCTAGAAAATTTCATGTAACGAATCAAGGGTTTCCTAACTTTTTATTTATTTTTTATTTTTTTTACAAACATTTGAAGGCTGTATTTCATTCTTAGTCTTTTAGGGAATGTCTTTACCATTTTTGCAGGTGTAAAGTTCTGACCAAGTAAAAACCTGATGGGTATTACTTGCTAATTGTGTTCAACTCCCCTTGAATCAACACTTTAAACCTAATTTCACTGTATTAGCTGCAACAAGTCCTTCTGGGTAGCTACTTATTTTATACATTTGAAGGATTTCATTGTTTGTCCCTTTTTTTTTTAAACAAAGTATCGACTGATCACTCAGACCAGATACAGCATTTTTAAAATCTGGCCTTAGATTCTTAATTGGTCTTGGGTCTTGACTTTGTTATTCTACTCATGGAGAAGGTTTGATCTGAATAACTCAGCCGTGGGTGTGCGGTCATTATGCTGCTAAAAGTTAAACCTCCACCCTGCATCTGACTGGTTTGCTTTGTAAAATGTTCTACTCACCTTCCTAATTCTAGCAACAATAGTGACTCCCCACAGCATACTGCTGCTGCTTCCATGTCACACAGTGGGCTTGGTGTTTTTAAGTGATGCGCAGACTTAGTTTTCCAGCAAACATTTTCCCTACAAACTATAAAAAGGAAATTTCTCATAGCTTTTCTCTTCCTGCTGATGTCCAAAGATCAGATATGGACTAATGGTAGTCCTGTTAACACATCCCTCCACTTTAGCCATGCATTTTTGCAGCTTATCCAATTTTAAAACTGCCCTCTTTGCTGTTCGTCTGATTAATGACCCCCTTTGCTAAGGGGGCTGTTAAGATGAACGGTGATGTCTGTTTGCAGCTGTGCAATAGATTGGAGGCTCAAACTCCTCACTCCCCCCCCCCCACCCCCCAGTAACCTGCCTGCAGTGTTCCTTCATCTTCATGATGCTTTTTGCTTCCTCATATTCCACAAAAAAACTGCAGCTTTCAAAGAACAGATGGATTTGTCCTAAGATTAAATTCAATCAGTTGATCTGGATCCTGTTTAGGGATGTTAGATTAGAGGCGGTGGACCCTTTGACAAATAGATTTTGTAAAAAATCATCCAAAACATGTATAACTTTCTCACCTGGTCAGAATTATGCTCTACATTGTGCTGATCGATCACATAAAAATCTCATTTGACACATTGATGTTTGAGGTGGTAGCTTGGAAAAACTTTTAAAAAGGAGCATAACTCTTTTTCTTGGATCTCTGCTGCTATGATGCGGTAAGTAATTACTCAGATGTTTCCTGTAGATGGAGACAGAGTTGGTGCTGACATGAGAATGGGAATATTTGTCATTCAGACTGAATGCTTGTCTTTTCTCTCCATCTGTCTATCCCTCTGTCTCTTCCTCCAACCCTGCCTATTGACGCACGCTGGCGTTTTCTATTTCTTCTCCCGTTCCTGTGTTCTTCCCCAGGATCCCAGGCTCAGGCTCCAGGATCTAGGCCAGCCTCTCCCCAACCAATTAGGCTCACGAGGCCGGTGCTGAAACAGACTTCTGCAGCTGATATTCTTCTGGAGAAGCCCATTGAGGCAGGGTGGGTTGTTCTCTCCGTCTTCCTGAGTCTCTTTATTCCTCTTTCATCTTTTACTGATGCTGTGCTGAATATATCACCTGGAGGCCAATATGAAGAGCTGACCCATTAAAATTTATCCCAGATGTTTTCAGCCAGAATCATAGGGCTTAGCTTCCATAATTAGTCTTCATGGATTCAGTGTAATTTTGTCCTTTGAATGAAATTAGAATATGTCCTAACAAATGCAAATACACAAAGGATTTAGATTAATTGGAAAGCTTTGGT